GGCGCTGCCCCGCCAGCCCGCTATGGTGACCGCCTCCATGGGGAGAGAGGGCGCCGGGAGGCGTGCGGCCCGGCCCGGCCGGGGCGGGGTGCGGAGCTCCGTTAGCCTGTTGGCAGCCGTGGCGGCGCCGAAATGGCCTTTAGAACGACACACGTTAGGCAGCTGTCCGGCAGTTAGCAGGAGTGGAAGCCTCTGTGAGGGCTGGGGAGGCACCGGGCCTGCCCTCGCACACCCTGCGCTCTGCTGTCTGAATCGCTTGCCCTCACACGCCTCGGAGACCGTTACAGTTACGTAAGCGTAAAGCCTCGGTACGCAGCTCTCTCTTAAACACGTGTTTTTCACCCTCTTTCCACTTCTCTGTGGTTTTCCCAGTCACAGAGCCAGTCACGCACCTTTTTAAAATGTGGTCCTGCAGTTAGGCCCTGAGCACGGCCCAGGCAGGTGCCTCTGAACTGGGTCATCTCGTGGGCCAACTTGAAGAGCAGGTGTATCAAAAATTAATTGTTCATAACTTGCCTTAAAAAAAGCATTGATTACGTTTGAAATCGGTATGAAAGAGCCAAACTCCTCTGCAGAAATGATTCCTGAGAGTTCGGAGGCTGGTTCCACGTGTGGCCGTAGTACAAAACTTGAGATAGCAGGTTGCACCCATGAACCAAGGGCTGTGGGCCTGGCTAATTGAACAAGTGTGATTTTGGGCTCTTAGGTCCCAGCCTTGCAGTGAGCTGTGTGTGGAACACGGTCATGTTCAGTGTATTATTGGCACAAGGATGTTTGCCCAGTCTGCATGCCTTTCAATTTTTCTGCTCATTTTTCTCATATGATTAAAAGTTTTTAAAGCTGCTTCTAAGATGCACATTAGAGCTCCTCAGTTATAACAGAGGACTTCATCTTCAGTGTGTATTGCTTTGTCACATGCTGGTTTAGTTAAGGGTGAGAAAACTGAATAACATGTATGTGGTGTAATAAATGTGCCTTGTCTGGAGTACTGTGTGCAAAAATGTGTCTACTTCTGAACAGCACCCTAGATCATTATGAAAAGATCTACGTAACTGACTGACCACTAATGTGGATGAACAGTAAGAGGATCTGCTAGAATACTCTGCGTCGTCTGTTCTGCACGGATAGTAACCCATTATACCAATAATTGGTGATAGTAACTTGTCTGCTTGAGCTCCTTCAGTTAATTTTCAAGGTGGTAGAATTTGGTGGAGAGTCTGGCACATTAGTGTCAGTCAGGCCTAATGTGTAAGTGGATGTCTGTCATAACCACATAGAGTTATTCCCAGCTCATGGTGAGACCCCTCTGTAAGCAAGTTTAAGATTCTTCTTAAACAGATCTGCTCCAGTGGAAAAGAGGCCCAGGAGACCATTAATTAAGCCTCTGTTAGGCTGATGTACCAAAATTATATTTTATCATAGGGAAACTTTACATAATTTCTGCAAATTGGCTAAAAAAAATTGAACACTTCAGCTTCAATATGAAATTATACTAAAGAACTACATATCTTGGTTACAATGGAGCGTCATGATGAAGATATAGTAGACTTTCCCTCTATGCAATGAATATATATAATTGGATTACAACAGTATTTTCAGTTACGAAAATACTGTATTTTAAGATGGAGGAGGTCTTTTCATTTCAGCTGCCTCTTTTCAGAGATGCATATTTTTCTCACAAAATTACTGAAGTTGAAGGCTCATGTTTTGGCCTTAGCACAAAGATGAGGGAAAGTTAGTTATCTAGTACTTTGGTAAATGAGTAATTGTAGTATGAGCATCATAACAGATAGTAAAGTTATTTAGCCAGAACTGTATCTGTATATACTGGCATTGAAGCAGGCACATATATTTATTTTTAATTACTGTGATGTTGTGCTGTCCCAGTGACGTTTGATTAAGTATAAAGAAACCTATTTATTCCCATTAGTCTGAAGGCAACCTTTAGTGTAATAGTGAAATACAGCTTTATCTATCTGCAGAATTAAAGATAATATTTGAATCACAGTTAATTATTTTAAAATCCAGGCCATTGTACAGCCCTGGTTCAGCTACGAGTTTGAGCTTTTAAGCGCTGAAGAGCTGCTCTGGAGAACATGTGAACTGAGGCTTCCTTCCTGTGTAAAAATATTAAAAGAACAGGATGTTCATGACTTTCTATCTTTAATCTGATTGAGGCTGCAACTTCCAGGTTTAGGACCCCTGGTGAAAAGTAATTTTAATTCTTGTTTAGGACTGCTTGCCTGTTGGACAGATTTCATCTTGTTAATTTGTAGTGATAGTAAGACCAAACTGTTAAAAGCAATTTTCAGTGCTCCCACTAAAGGCACTTTGTATAAAAACATGACTTAGAATGTGTATCTTGGGGATAAATTATAGAAGAATATCTAGTAATTTTCATGATAAAGACCATCATTGGAAGCACAGTGCCTGCGTAAAGTTTTGAATATTTCTGTAAGAAGAATATAATGTATGTATCATGGATTACTTGCAAAAGCAATATATGTTAGCTGAAAATACTGCGTTAAATCTATTGCAAGTAAGTACAGGAATTATAGAATGAATATTTAAATAGGTAGATTCTCATGCTATCGAGCCTGAGTTTAAACATAATATTTGACATACATTTATTCCTACAATTAAATGGGTCGGGATTACTGATAGGAAGTTGACAAGTCAGATCTGTATGATTTGGTAAGACTTGTTTAGGCAGTGAATTTACAGTGGGCTGATACGTTCTATAGTTTCTGAGCAGTGCTATGAAGATACGTGCAATGGGAGACATTACAGAACCAATTAGACCCAAGAGACATTTGTGGAGTGCAAACACAGGCATGGAGAATCTAAAGGATTCCAGTATTAGCTGACAGTATGATTTTTTTTTTTTTTGTATTGCAGTGACAAAACACTTTTTTTTATTTTCCTTTTAGGAAAATTAGGACAAGGATGTGACTCTCCTGTCACTCATCATGACAACAAAGCACAATTAGATTTAGTGCAGCTATTACTGTAACTCATTGGCCACTGTGTATTATGATATATTCTTAATTTTTATGAATTTAAGCAGTGGAGCTGCATGATCTTTAATTTCCAAATTGTTTTCAAGATCCTGGGTACTTGCAGTTTTTTAACAGTTAAACAACTTACAGGTGGGTTATGGGGAAACAAATCACAGAATCCTAAACTTACACTCTTTTAAATTGTTTTCTTCTTATATGAATTACTTCTGGGGCTGGCTGCTTCTGTTTGAGTTTTTTTCAAGTAATATCTGTGCTATGAAATCAGCAACTTGGCAGTCTTAAAGCTGTTCCTGCAGTCTGGAAAAGAGCAGTGAGACTGAGTAGGGTCTTGTACACTTCATGCTGCTGCAGGAGCCACTGGAAATTGGAACTGCTTGCCTGTGGATTCAGCACATGAGATTCAGTGTCCTTTCCAGTCCAGTGTCTCCCAGGGTATTACACTTTTTCTGGCCTACATCCAAGTTAACAGAATCTAGAGAAAGCCTGGGTATGAGACACCAGTGCAGTCATTTTGCACAATAACTGTTTCAGAAAAGTTAACAGGGTGTCTCTAGCTTGGTTTGACATGCTCCTTTTTAAAAGGACTTGTCTGAACCTTCGCTTGCCATATTCCTTTTTAAAAGGTTCCTGGACAATTACTTCTTCAGAAACTTGTGATGACATCCACTCTGCCCTGTCCAGTGCTTTTTTGTAATGGTGGGTTCCAGTAATGTTTTCTCATGTGCTGCTTTCAAGTAAAAGGGCTAATACAGTCATTATCTGGAAGCTTTCAATGTAATACCTACCGTTCCTCCAGTGTTAATTGATCATCACTTTTATTTTTTGTAGTCAATGGTTGTCTATGTTCTTATTAGTATGACTTAAATACCCACAAGTTTATATAGTGTCAAGAATTGTGAAATAAATTAACAGATCTTAAATAGTTTTTTTTAATGGTAATTAAAGTCAACCTATTCACAAAAGAGTTTGACGAGCGTTGCCTTTATTCTGGAGTGGGCAAGTCTGTATGTGTCCTGCCTCATTGGTAACTAAAACATGTAGATGAGATTATATCCACAAAATTTAAATGTTACTAAATTGTGCTGCTTCTGTAGCTGTCTACAGATTCTGTGAGTAGATGCAGTGACCAGGGTACTATTTGGGAATCATCTTTAGTACCTCTAGCATCTTTGCAGGTCTCCATTCCAGAAGTTACACTAATAACCTGTCTTCTCAGGTTGACTTGGGTACCCCTTGCCTCATGTATTTTTCTCCTCCTTTGAGACTGCGAAGTTGTATTTTGTTTTAATCTGAAGCTCCAATCTTGCAGATGAATATGCTGACTCGAAGCTTGCCATCTTGAGGCCCTCAGAGCAGCAACTGCACTAAGACTTCATTTTTTTGTAGTGGGGCATTAGGACACTGGGCTGCACTGTGCAGTTGGTGGTTTTGTGGTTCGTCTTCTCTGTTAGGATAGGCTGCAGTTTCACTGTTATAAAAAGGGTAAATCCCTCCACCACTGTTGTACTAACACTTGGATCAGACTGCTGTGGGGCAAGAGGAATCCAGTAATGCATCCCAAAATGGTCGTGTCAGATGCTGGCACGAATGTGGCGAGGGAGATGCCCAGCCAGCGATGGGTGAAAGTGGACTGGCCCTTTGAGCTGTGGCCATGCTCATATGCAGTTAGAGCAGTTGTGAGCAACAGTCTCAGTTACTTGCTCAGAAATTTCATTAATGATCATGTGAGTTATCCAGGAAGGACATTAATTTGGTGAATGACTTTTTAATCTTCGGGTTTTTTTGTGACTGCTTGTTTCTGCCTTTTAGCAATTTTAGGGTGGCACATTTGTGACACTGCTCAGTGACCTGGGTTGGGATCCAGCTTAACACCAAACTTTGTTGTTGACTTTTTTGCTTCTTTTTTTCTTCCTGTATTATTTTTCAGCCAGTGTGGTTCCCTAATGTGGTTGATTGTGCAGTATCACAAATACCTGCCAGCAGATTGTGTCAGGGTTGGAAGGATAAGATGGTGGAACTGAGTAGCTGGAAATGGGGTGGGATGGTCACTGGTTTACTCAGGACTGCAGCGGAATGTTGAACCACAGCCTGAAGGTATGTCTGTGAGGCAGGTGCCATGGCTCATGTCAGTTTTAAGCTAGTTAACTTGGGTATTGCTAGCAGCATAGTTGTTGCTTCATAGACTACATCAAAGCTTGCAAAACCTGCTTGAGATGTTTGGTAAGTTAGATCATGGGAATTCTATGCTTATGTTGGTCTGCCGCTGTCTTGGCTAGGATGTGGTATAGCCACATGAATATGTTTACCTGACGTAAGCTAAAATATTAAGTTACAAGTTCCTTAGCTCTATCTCAAGATGAAGTTACCTGACATGGATACTGACTTGCTACCAGGGAAAGGCAAGACCTTACTGTGGTTTGTTCCCTGCTTGCATCAGTTCAGTTGGTTCAGAGCTGAATAAACTCACTCACTTAGTGGAAAACGTCCTGCTGCCCTTGGGATTTTTGCTTGGTTTCTGAGTTGAAATGACTCCCAAAGGGGACTGACAAACAGCCAAACAGCATAAAGGTGTTGGGAACTCACGGTTGAAGTGAGGAAGAAGGGTGCTGGCTCCTGTAAGCTGACACTGCCTGCCTGGCTGTCACAGGGGAGTGGGCTGCCATGCTTACATGTGCCATGCTTACTGCAAGGTAACTGTAAGTCATTTGTCTGTGTGACCAGTAACCACAGCAGTGGTCACAACATAAAATAGTCTTGAGAGGGCAGAATTTCCCAGCCGGCAAAGGAGAGATGAAGCATTTTCTGTCTGCTTTGTAATTCTTAGATGTTTCAAGTACAATTTTTAAGTTCCCCAAAATAATTTTGGTCAGAACTTAGTTTTTATTTATTGATAAATAATTGTTATGTACTACTTTTTCTGCAAAACTGAGACCCACAATTAATATAAAAATAGTAATCTTCACTCGTTTTCTTGTAGAGAAAGGTAAAAATTGTGGTTCTATTTTTAAATAAGATTTTTTCCTTTAGAAAGAAATGTTTGCCGTGATTCAAATTTCTTTCAGTCTCTCTTTTCCTTCAGTATTCTTCCCAAACACATTTCTTCAAAAGGCAAAAGTTTCCACCCAAAGGGGGATTTATGTTAATAATTTGTTGAAATGTAGTTTTTTTGAGTAATATGATTTAATAAATGAATGAGAGCTCAGAAATGCTTTCTTTCTTTTCCATTAGATCATACAGTGTGCCAACAGACTGAAGAACTTTTAATAGTTTTTTTTAATATTTTGATTTAAAATGGGGCTCTAGGAAAAACAATTGTGCGAATGTTAATTCTGTCTTTCTCCATCAGTGATTGCTGTGTTTTAGGCAAGTACTGTGTAGTTTCCTAGAGGAAAAAAAGAAAATTCATTTTAAATGTTTATTTTGTGTGTGGCTTGTTACATCCTTGTTACCAAGAGATGATTAAATATTTGACCACCCATTAGTGTTCTTCTGTAATGTAGTCGTATTGTGAACTGGTTATTTCATCGGTAAACTTTTAGGGTTTGGGGGTGCAACAGAGAAATCTCATGCATGAGTTGCATGGCAGAGTGGGTTTTGATACTGCAAACATTTACAGATGGAGGCAGCTCGTGTGTCTATCAACTGCAGTAAATACTTGAATGTAGAAGGTTAAGCAGTTAAAACTCTGCAGAGTAGGAGTCATCTGAATTAGGTCAGTAGTGGAAATTATCTTGGATTTATCATGAGCCTTGCAAACGTGGATCTGCATTTCAGAAAACCAGCATACTTCCACTGTAGTTTGTGGAAGGTTCTGAACAACAGAACCAAGGTCAAGACTGAGATATTTACACAGTCCTGAACAGCGGGGACAGTCTCCTGAAGGCAAATCATTGGTTTTAGACTTTATTAGACCCTTACTTTAATTACCACCTCATTACTAGCTCTGTTCCACAAAAAATATTCCATACTGTCATTTTCCCTAAGTAACTGGAAATGTGATTGAAAGGGATGTTTAAAGTGAGACTAATTCAAGATTAAATAGTCACAAATTATATTATTGCTACATGTAAACAAATTACTTGCATATCTGATTTTATTCAGATTACTTTTCAAGTGGTAAATAATGCTTTATCACTTATATAGTGCTCTTACATCTTTAGAGTGCTTTTCTCACATTAATTAATCATCATCAAACACTCTGAGGTGGGTAGGTTAATACTATTATCCCCATTTTGCAGATGAAGAAATGTAGACTGAGAGGTTGTGATTTGCTCAAGGCCATATAGAAGAAATAGAATCAGAGCTGGGATTAGATCTGTGTCCCTAGCTTCTAATTTCAGAAGACCAGGCAGATTGTGAGCCACAATTTTGAACCAAAATACTCAAGTATGCATGTAGAAACAGCACACATTTACTTGGCCTCTTAGAAACCTAACTTGCAATTTGTTGAAATGGAAACTTTGCTTTTGTGCCATGCTGTGTATTTCCATGTTCATACCCGCAAGTGTGGAAACAGTCTCTCATTCATTTAGGAGCTCTTCCTAATCTGATGGGGCATTTTTATTTTCATCGTTTTCATTGAAATTAACTCTCATCTTAAAAATACCAGTTTCTGGTTCTTTAGACTTGAACATAACTGTGTGACTCGGATACAGCAGGTTTAGCATTGGTACCTGAAACTGTCTACAGGTGATACCAGTACCAGCTCTGTTGCTTATAATTTTTCATGAGCTGAGACATAAATAAAATTCTGACTTGGCAGCTTGCCTTATTGCTTTTCAGAACCGACGAGAGAGAGAAGAATTACCCTCAGTGTGCTAAACCCATCACCTTTGTAGGCAGTGCCTAGCTGCTTAGTAGAGAGAGACATTCGCATGCATGCACTCCACCTTGGAGAACTACCGAAATAGAACAAAATAGTCTTGGACTGCAGAGGAGAGCAGAACTGTTTGTGCACCACCTTGATAATCAGAAGCACCACAGAGAATTATATTCAGCTGTTAGTAATGGGAGCATGTGCAGAAGTAACAGATAAGGAAAAATGAGGTGGAAGAAAGAGGTGCCCTTGTATGTGAGGGTGAGGACCTGCTGGGGAAAGGTGGGGTAACGTGGAACACATTAAGAGACCCAAGGGCATGTGCAGGTAAGAATTAGCTTCATGCTACAGCATCCTTCTCGTCTTCTCTTCATTCCCAAGGAAATGTTTCAAGTTATTTTAGTGCCTGGCTGCTGCGTTAGGGGATCTGGCTTCTGTTTCTAACCCCGTTCCTGACCAGTGTTAGTGGTTAAGTTACTCAGCCTGCAAGATCAGTGCAGTGCTTTTCCGAAGTACTGTACACTTTAATTCATGGAAAAGTTTTTGAGCTCTTCAGATGGAAGATCCCAGAGAAGGTGGAATAGAAACAGATTGGAAAGAGAGAAAGTGTTGCAGACAAAAGGAATTTCCTGCCTTCAGACAGCTAGTGAAGTCTGTGGCTGTATGATACGAGTTGTTTGGGTGTTGATTGGGTGTCACTAGCCTGCAGGCTGCCCTGTGTTCAGATTGGCACGGTGGAACTGGGGGACAGTTGGGAAGTGATCGTAGGTCTAAAGCTGATCCTCCTGCTCTGCTGTGACTCTGCTTGAGAAACCTAGAGATGAGATTCCGTAAAAGCAGCAATGTACGCTTCCCTTTAAATAGTTCAACCTAGTAGTAATGAGGGCAGAACCAACGCATGATCTCTTGCTTTAACAGTTTGATTTTTAATCCAGAAGGAACTACACTTTGGGTTACAGGCACACAGAGGTGTGCTGTCCCAGGGGGCCACTCGCGGAGCTCCCAGGTGTGGCTTTGTCTGGTTAGGAGCTTGAGAAGCACTAAATTTTAACAAGTTGCTGTTGGACGAAAGTAATGTGTTTTCTGACAGTGGGTCCCGCTTTAATAACCAGACCCATGATTAGGTAACATTAAGTTTGCTGCAGGAGTAGTTTAATAAAGTATTTTAGTATGCAGATAAGCCATTGATAACCACATGCTTTCACAAACTCATACATTTTTATGCCTAAAAGGGGAGAATTCAGAGTTTATTGATACCACTTCTGCTACGATGTCTTAAAAGTAATGCATAGTTGGTGGCACTAGGTGTCCAGACATTGAACTCAAATGAACAAACAGGTCATTTATTTTATTTACCCTGAAAGGAATTTTCATTCTTTAATTGTAACTGTAGATATAAATTATGTGTGGAAGATAGACTAATGATTTTCCTGTGTTTGATTAAAGGCAAAGAATCAAAGATTTGTTTATATATTTATCTATTTGTTTCTTTGCTGTGATAAGACCAGTTGTTATCCAAACAGTGGGACTGACCTAATAAAGGACATATGCATAATTGATCTCCATCTGTTTTTCAGTATTTATTTTCTCTCTATTTTTTTAATGGAGTTCGGTTCCAGAAGTGCAGCCTGAAACATTTTTAAGGTGGTGTATTTTAGCACTTCTGTAAAAGGTCTCATTTTATTCTGGCCACTGAAATGAAAAGGTTTGTTGTTGGTTCCACCCTTTAGTATCCCTTCAAGAGAGATTATATCAAAGAAGAAGAATTAAATTAAAATTGATTGATGTTATTGATTTTTCTTTCTTTTTTTTTTTTTTTTAAAGGGGATAAAGGGGGATGGAAACAGCATATGCCCCTATGCTGTTTTACTGATGGACTATTTTTCAAAAACATAAAAAGCATATGTGCCCAATTTACATATTTACTAATTAAAAAAGCTTCCTGGAAACATTAAGTAGACTATCTTCTGTAACCTTTAACATTGTAGCTAATGGATATAGCCTGGAAATTTTCATAGAAGGTCCTCTAAATAATGTAAATGATTATGAATATGTAACTAGTTAATATGCAGCTATGAAAGGATTATCATGTAGAGGTTAATGAGCATGCTGCTCTTACGGTTTGCAGGGCTTTTCTTTTTGTGGTTTTAGCTCACTTCATGCATGGAGAGTCATGTATTGGGAATGGAAAGCTTCCTGTCTTTTCCATCTTCATCTGTAATGGGGCAATTAAACTGGAACTCTCTTAAAGGATTCCATAAACATTTTTGTATGCTTAATTATGTTGTGTACTTCACAATCACTACTGAAAGAATGAAGGATGTTGACAGAATAGGCTCTGACTCTTCTACTTGTTAGTGGTGGGCTCCATTGTATGTTAGCATTGTTATCAAATGTTGCTGTGCTGTATGATTTATACCTTTTATGGAAACTTTACTCTTAAAATGGGCTTAATATTAATAGTATGAATTAGATTTCTGAGTTGATGTCCTGTAGAAGTCTGTATTTTACTCTTAACCTTAAAAATAGTTAGCTTGCACATTAAGGAAAACATTTGCTAGGCATTTGATTTATAGTAGTTTAAAGCAAATGATAAATTTAAACTTGGCTTACGTGGGATGAGCTACCTGGCTGAATTTCCTGATGGATTATGAAATAGCGTAACTGCAAATGTAGAGCTGATCCTTTTCATTTAAGTACTTTACTCTGTTTAAAGAACTATTAGCTCACAAAGTAGTCCCATTTTTTTACTCCTGTATGAGTAGAAAGTGCAGGGTCTGAGATCTGTTTTGCAATAGCAGCACATATGCTAACTGAAAAAAAAACCTGTCTTTCATTCTGTTGTTTGGAAAAAAAAAATTATCTGCTCCAGTGATTTCAGTGGTAGTTGAATGTATGTTATTGTTTTCTCTGCAAATTTTCCCATTAATTGCTTTCAAATGTTAGCATTATTTTGGCTATAGGAAAAACGAAATTTGTAAAAAAAAAAAAAAATCTAGAAAATGCTTATATTGAGAAGATGTCTAGACATATTTAATTGCCTCATGGCTTCATTGCATTTCATATAATTGAATGAAATTGTTTGTGTTATATTTTTGGTAACCATTCAGAGATCAGAATATGTCTTAAAAGACAAAATGGCCATGTAATTATGCCAGGGAAGGTCACAGGTTTCAGTATCTTGTCTGTTTGCTATATCTACATAGTCTAAAAAAATACAGTTAAAAAAGAAAAAAAAATTCATTTTAACAATGTGCTTTATTTTGTAAATTATTTTGGATCTCTTGGGAAAGCCTGTGGCGTGAAGAAATAAGTGAAATATTCAGATTAAAACTTCCCTCTTTCTGACACCCAGAAAGAACAGAAGGGAAGCCAGCAGCCCATAATGGTGTCAAATATCCTTGTATTTAAACACCACAAAATTAATTTGTGCTTTTTCAAATTAAAATGGCCAGTGGAAACATTTGTTGATGTAAAGGAAAAAATGTTTTTGGTGCTGTGGGGTTCATTTTTTTTTGTTTTTTAATGACTGAATATGGAAGTAACATTGATGTCTTGTTATAATTTATGTTGTTTTCTTATTCTGCAAACATGTAACACTGAAAATAGATCTCCAGATTGCACAAACTACTACTTATCTTATATTGTGTGTCACCTAATAGTTATGGAGCAGGTAGTGTACCAAAATATGAATTGAAAAGCTGTAATTTTTTCTGTGGTTATCAGTCTGCATTAGTGTGTGATAAAGTGTGCTGCTTAAGAACTACCATTCACATGCCTTTGCACTGACAAATAAAAATGTATATAGAGACACCACCAAATCTATAAAGCTACTGTTCTAGTTTCTGATGCATTGACATTGCAGCTGTGTGCTTAGCCTTGTTTTTTTCATGAGTAGTTATCTGTTTTAATGACAGGTGGTCACTAGCTGCCAAGAAAAAATCCAGCACTGGTAAGTGAAAAATGTTTGATTACATGCCTAAAATACCGATGAGTAACCTAGTTATATTTTAGTAAAGTATTGCTATTTATTCTAATGATACCTACTAGCATGTTTTGGGGATTATAGTTAGCGGTAGCTCAGAATTGTTGCAAAGTACTCTCTTTAAAATGTGTATATTTTCCACTGATACCATTACTTTAAATCACAAATACGCTGAGCCTTAGTGTTTATACTTCTGTTTTAAATACCCAGCTCATTACTCATTTTTCCTCAAGTAACCTTGTGGCATGAATGCTGAGTTTGCCTGATTGGTGAAACGGTACTCCCAGGGTAGAATTTAATTATTCTTGTTGTTTTCTTTCTAACTATGGAGCAAATGGGGAAATTCTGCTTCCCCCCTCCCCCTGTGTTAAAAAAAATGGAAAATAATTTTTCCTTTTTCCCCCCCCCCCCCCCCCAAAAAAAAAAAAAGTGATAAAGCTTAGTTTGTAATGCTTAGAAAGAAATGGTTTGTTATGTAAAAAAATTATCTCTGGGCACTTTTTTCTCTGTTGGCAATCTATGTTTAATAGAAAACATGCTTAGTAAATAATAGTTTTGTATGGCATCTGAGGAAAATGTACATTTAATGGTGAATGAAATCTTATATTGTGAGTTACTGTGAGATATAACAGTTGATCTTACAGATATCAAATTACAATATATCCATGCTGTGTTTACCATGATTTTACTGAGAGAACAACAGGAGCTGTCTTGATTATTGTCTGCAGGGTTATTGCAGAATCACAGCAACTGCCCCTTTAGTGGTGAGATTAAACCTTTGGTTATACACCATCAAGCATATAATATTTTAAATTTATTTTAAGAGGCTTTTTCTTCATGCCTGAAAGATCTCCAAGCAAATAATTTATATTTAGTGTGTATCAAATGTTTTTAGTTTAAATGCACATAGGCTGCAAGCACTGGATAAGAGGAAAAAAATCTAGGCAATCTATACACATCATCATATTAAATTCTGACTATTGGCTCGCAAAAATAATCTAAAACTAATATGTTTCATTTATGTTTAAAATTCAAAGACTGCATAAATTTTCAATAAGGGAAATATTGAAGTGCCTACTGGTGTTGCTGTGGTGAAGTCAGGCAGAATATTCGTAGCACATGTACTTCTTCAGGAGCTTTGCAGTGTCCGTACCAATTTGGTCCCGTGTGAAATTCTGCATGTATATTCTTTTCACTAAGAGACAGTATTTTTCAGAAATAAACTAATATTCAGAAAACCATAAAATTCAAACAGATTTTTAAAAGTCTGGAAGGTTGTGAAAATTATTTCCTCTTATAAAAATGGCTGAGATTTGTGGATTGGGGAGGGAGGGTTGGCTTGGAAGGAGAAGTTGCTCTTGTGTTTGCTTTTGTGCAAACTCTGGCCAGAGTGGCCCATGAAGTTGGGGATTTTGGGCACAGAATGTCAAAAGGAAAACCTAACTTACTAATATCTTTTATGTAAAAAGCAATTTCTACAGCATCGATACAATCTTCACTTTATAAAAAAATTATTTAAAATTTAGTACCCTTATTTAGATCTTGATTGTGCAAGAGCTGAGTGCTCTTGTTTCAACTGAGTAATTTGTTCATATAAGACCTTTTAAGTAGTCAGTGACACAGAATAATGTTAAATAGAATTGGGTGAATAACAACAGGGTTTTGAAATGCTCAGCTTCAATATGTTTCCATTAAATTATTTTCTTTTTAATTTTTCAGTACACTTTTTGAAGTATATTTCTAAAGCCATGAATCCAATAATGGATCTGGTATGGGATTAAACATCTAGACATGTGTTTCCCCTTCTAGGGATGTGTTTATAGCTGGAGTCCAAATATTCATCCTCTCTGTTCACTTTGATTCTTCATTGTGTATTGGGACTGAGCATAGTGCCAGCATACCCCAGAGCTTGTGTCACCATCAGCTATAGGTGAAGAAGGGAGGTCTGCTTCCTTCCTTAAGTAATGCTATTTCAGGCCAATTAGTTAAAAAGGATTGATTTTAATTTTCTTTATCTCGATGGTCCAGTTCAGGATGTGGCCGCAGTTTTAGAGATTCCCATGGTGGAGGTTTGATCAGCAAAGGGCCCACTGAAAACAGAAACATACTTTGCTCTGTAAAGCAAAACAGCTTTTGTAGCAAGTGATTTCTCCTGTACCCTGATTAGATTATTCAGTAACGGGCAGCAGTCAGATCTTAAAGGCAGTATCTTCTTTTCAGATTAATGAAGAAGTGTTGAGTGACTCAGCCATGAAACAATGGGAATGTTTAATCCCACTGCGAGCGGGGGGGATTTTCATGCCATTCTCCTCCCATAGAGTCTTCTCCTTGTGTTTGAGACATGGGCAAGGCCTTTGGCTTGGAGATCGTGTTTGTTTTTCAGCGGGTGGTTGGAGTGCATCAGTGTCCATTTCTCAAATACCGATCTCTGTGAGGCAAAGGCTGAATTCTGTAAACATCATAAAGTAATCGATCGTTATTGTTGACACCAAGTTGTCATTATATTGCTTCCCCCCTCCAAAACATCTCAGTGAATTTTGTTAAGATTCATGAGTTTGTCCTTCCTCTTTGAAGGAAGTCTATTATATTTTCACTTTGATGTGGGCAATGGACAGAGAAACTTGTCTAAAATGTCTGGGAGAAATCCACTGTCAAAACAAAGCAGCAGCAAGCATCTTTTGTAAATCAGTTATATGGAATATGGTTTTAATGTCCAAGTGGCACAAAAACCTAAATTCTTTTTTTCAGGACCACTTCAGGAACTTAAAATGTGAAGTACTCCAGGTATAAAGTGGGGTGGTTACAGCAAAGTTCAACTATGGAAGCAAATGAGTCAAAACATAGGCAAATGAGTCAAAACATAGGAGCATCAGATAGTTTTTCGTAACAAATGCTGAAGAAGATTTCAGTCTGCTTACGAATCTAATAAAATCAATGATCATATTTTGAGAGTTGTGTTATCAACTATGACATTCATTTTCCAGCACATTTATAGATTGCTTTCCTGAATCATCCTCAGAAAACCTGTAATTTGCATCTTGGGTCAGCGTTGTTAAGTGTGCTGCTCCGTGCTTTCAGTTGCCTTTTATTGCAGAATTTACTACCATATATATTTTTACTATTTTGAAGTACAAGTAAACAATATCATCAAACCTGACTTTTACATGCCAGCTACTTCATGCAGGATCTGATTTCTGACCATCTTCAGAATGGCAGTGGTCCATTAAAAGACTTTTTCCAGCCAAATTTAAGTATTTAAGAATGTCTTCACAAAAGGCGGCTTTTTTAGAGGGAGTGTAGTTGCTTGTTTTGCACACAAAGGAAAAAAATCCTTGTAACAATTGAAACGCTGTATCTTGCAAAGTCCTCTGAAGAGCCAGGTGTCTGCGGTGGGAATAATTTGTCCAAGTTCACCAAGCCATTTCTGTCTTGGGTAGCAACATGCAGCTTGACTCTCATTTACATTTTGGATAGAGAAACAGCAGAAGGGATGTTCTTCACCTATATTGTCCCTTGTCAGGGATTGAAGATGCGACAGAATCCTGGTGGTCAAGCCATCTTTCAGGAGTGTTGGCTCTTGGTAGGAACACAAAGTTCACTTGAAAATCAGAATTAATTAAAATTTTGCCCGTTTATGTCAGGTCAAACCAAGGTCATGAATTCTTCATTACAAGTGATACTTTGAAGAATTTGCCTCTTACAAACTGGATTTTCAGTTATTTTTCTAAATATTGATGGTGGTATAACTGTTGAACTTGAACATGGAGTGAGATATGCCAAATCCTAGTGAAAGAACTGATTCTTTGCACCATAAAAAATTAAAATTCAGAAAGAGACATGCTAAAATAATAATGTCCCTATTTTAATACATGTTATTCTAAAATAATCTAGCTATTATGTTTGTCTTCCCAAATCTTTTATAAATAAGTTATTAATCTATCAACTGTATGTGTTTAAGAGTAAAATAGTTTATTTTTCTTTATTTTTTGTGTGTTGTTGAATTACTAGCGGAAAAGCATTAAGTCTTTACTTTAGATACGAAATTGAATCAAATTGAATTTGTCAACAGGAAGAAGGTGGAGAGTGATTATGAGGCTCTTCAGGAACGACTCTGTACATTGCCCGATAAACTGTCCTACGATATCATGGTATGTATGCTGCAGGGTTCATAGGAGAAAATGGGCTAAAATTTTTAGTAACTCAGGTATCTGCACTGGCAGTGAGGTGTTTTTCAGGTTGCCATGTAGTACTTTGTAATGTTGCATTTATTATGATATTAGTTAAACCTTTGCTTTTGTTTCTTTCTCTTTTCTTTGAAATCCTTTGTAAATTATGATGTTATTGACAACTGAGAACTGATGACATAAATGCTAACACAAAACCTGACATGTTTGATATGTAAATCTAATGTATAGAAAACTATAATTATGACTGAATTATGGTGCTTAGTCATTTCCTGAGAAGAAAGTGGCCATAGTGTTTCCTGATTCATGGAAATAAACCCTAGAACATTGATTTTTACATTAAAAAGTGCTGCTAATTTTTGTTTCACCGATCTTCACATTGACATAACGATCTTTCCTGGTGCTTTGAATCTTCCCTAACAACTGCACAGCTCCCTGTGTAAACTTTACCCTGTTGACTTGCACTCACTAGAATTTTGACCAAATTGGCTTTTCTTTCTTTTTTAACTCCTCCCTTCTCAGGTCCAATTCAAGATATATCTTTGAAGGGAGGGAAGTTGTACTGGAAGTAACTGAATAGCTAATTTCAGCACAAAGTGCCTGACTGCTTGCTTCCTTGGCAGCCTGGCTCAGCGTACAGAGTTGAGTTGTTAGTAAGATGGCATTGGAGTACACTTACCATGTGGGAAAGACAGTGTTTCCCTTTCCTGTGCTAACAGTTCAGCTCTGGATTTTATGCATGTAGTCCATTTGCCATATGTATATGTGTGTGGCCACATGATGTAGAACAAAAAGATTTGTGTTGTTTCGAAGCACAGAAGAAACCCTATTTTTAAAAAAGCTAGATAGGGCTTATCCTTAGTTAAAGCAGCAATGTCAACTCACATCTGTTATTTTAAATGTACGTAAATAGTTCCTATCCTGTTAGCCAAATATTTTCGTATGTTTTCAATTTTGCTTTCATCATTCTGGGGGAAGAGTGAACAGGCAAATGGTGCAGTCTGCTACTTGAAAACCGACTCAGGAAGGGTACACATGTAGGAAAAGCACATTCTGCATAGTCTTAATGTCAGGATCCTGCCTACTGGAGAACTGTTTCGAGCATTGGTACCCTCCTGGATACTGAAGCTAGGGAAGATCACTTTCCAAGGAAACAGATCCACTAGGCCAAGTGCTTTCCTTCAGCACAAATGCAATGAGAAAGCAAGTGGCTACTCTGAAGGAAATGAAGAAGGCTGAAGAGGAGTAAAATAGGAGGAACTGATACAAACTGGCTGATACATATCTCTTTTTACCCTGAGAAAGAAAACTTGATGTGGATGTGGTTCTTAGCTTTTTGCCACCTCCATTTTAACTTTAATGTGATTTTTGGTCTCCTAATTTCTTTGCAATTGAAGCCCAAAGGCAGCCAGGCAGGTGGCAGTAGGTCTGAGGGTATGAATGCTGGGGGCTGGTGCAGGAGACAGGAGTGAGGGTGGCCAAAGCTCCTCCTCAGCAATAGGACTTGCCCAAGCAACGTCTGTAAAGCATGGGCTGTAGAAATTAATAAAATTTCTACATTCATAAAAATGGTATCCTACACGTTGTAATACATGTTAAAATGGGGGTTACACATTTTAAGAAGCACCTCTTAAAGTTACAACACATGTTTATCACCAAGGTACTCCTGTCTGAAGTATTCTGGTTTTCTGTATTGTTCCTGTGCCTGGACAGTCATTAGAGGATGGGTGTTGCTTGGTGCAGCATTGCTTGAAGGTTGACGTCTGCATACTGGTGAATGATAAAGTGAGATTAAGCACAGTCTGTGATCCTGCCAGTGGCCCACAGAAACTTAACACTGAAGTTTCTAGGTACTCACTATTAGCAAGCCAGATGTTGAGAAAAGCAACTCATCTGTGAGTTGACCATACCTGTTTAAGTATTTTAAAAGTTTTAGCAAAACTAAACTTGCTTTTATTAGGAAATGAGTGTAGTCTGTGTATAACAAATATATAACTCCCCTAAATGGTAATTTTGTCAAGGTTTACATGTTAGGATTAAGTGAATTTGTTTTCTATGGGAGCATTCAGCTATACTATAGCTTTATGTCACAAAACAACTTGTCTAGTTAAATTCCACTTTTCTGATTTTGTAAGTACAATACTAAATTCAAATGGGTCTGGTCATTTGAATATTTATGAAGGGTTAGTCATTAAATAACTGCTGGAGAATTTTTATTTCTTTAACTCTGTATTTTACTTTTTTTAAAAAACTAAGACATGAATGACTGTCTAGGTTTTATTTTCATTAGTGATTTTCAGCAGTTTCTTCTGTGCCTTTGACAGGTACCTTTTGGTCCTCTTGCCTTCATGCCAGGAAAACTTGTCCACACCAATGAGGTTACTGTTCTGCTTGGGGACAACTGGTTTTCAAAATGCTCAGCAAAGCAGGCTGTTGCGCTGGTTGAGCACAGAAAAAAACGTATGTATGTTTCTGAATGTAATTTAATAGTCAAAATTATGTGTCTTTGTATTAATATATAAAATCAGTAGCATGTACAGTTTTTTTTGTGAGCTTGCTAACAGAAGTCTCATTTGGATGTAATCCCAATTTAGCACCTTATTTTCCATCTTTACTTGGTATTTGATTGGATATGTCCAGGTCTTTTTAAACATCTAGCCAGAGCTTTTTTTTTAATGATACATCAGCTTCAGTTACCAAAATTCAGGTTTTGATGTTAGATGTTAGAATACAAGTTCAGTCAGGATTTGTTCATTTGTTTATTATACACAAAAGTAAAAAAAAGAAAAAACAAAACAAACTAAAAACCTCCTTTCACTTTTATTTAATGTGAGAAATGCTGTATTCTCTTCTAGAAAGTAAGCATCACATTGTATTTTTGCTCTTAGTTATCTTATTCCCTATATTCTGTTCCCTTGTCTCATCTCATTTCTTTGCTGCCTTGTCCTCTGGTTTTTTTTTTCCTTTGTCCATACCATTTTCCAGCTTTCTTCTCCCTCTATGCATGCTTTACTCCTGCTTGTTGTTTTTTTTTTTTCCTTACTTGCTGCTCAGCTGCATTTCTGCCTCTTGCCCTCAACGTTCTTAGCCACTGATGTGGAGAGATCCCCTGGATCTCCCCAGATCAGGTGTTGTTGGTGACCACCAAATTCATCTTACATAGCAGCACATCACAGAGTCAGAGAGGCAATTTCTGTTTTTATTTCCAGCTCTCTTCAGTTGGTGGTGAGATCTTGGCTTTGAAGAGCCAAGACCAGCAGGAAGTGGTGCGCGTGGGGCACTTTGGAACCTCTTTATGTTAGAAAGAGTAAGAGCCTAAAATATTTGATGTAAATGTCAAGGAAGGAAAAGCACAATAAAATGGAAAATAAATTGGTACCTATTAGCCTTTGCTGTTTGCTTCAGATAAGCGTTTGAGTAAACTTTTTTCATATTGGTTTTACCTGTAATCTGTCTCTTTCCTGAATGAGTGCTCACTGCAGCTTTACCCTGTGTATGTTACAACTACCACAACTATTTACACTGGATTTTTGTTTGAGTTCAGCTATCCATGTTGCTGCCTGCAGCAGAATACCTCAGAGGTTCCCTATCTGAATACATTTTTCTTTTCAATTCTGTGCAAACAATATTTGTGTTAGAAAAGTTAGCTTTTTTCTAAAAATTCATTTGCTATATTACTTTAAAATATTCCTTTATGAAGAACATTGCCAAAAGTCTGTAATTTGTATTTTACCTATTATCTTTCTTAATCTGGTTCTCCTGACACAACTTCACAATTTTCTTTCTTACTGAACTGAATCTACATTATTTATTGTGACTCTTGCGAGATCTCAGGTCCATATCTTTTTCTTTGATCATCTGATATTTTTTTCAGTGCTGCAGAATATTTTTGTCACCATTGCATTCAGTGAAATCATTTGACCTTTGCATAGTAGATGTTTGAACATTGGGTAGTCTGCTGGGAGACACACAATAAATGCTGGATTCTTTCCTTTATGATCTTTTAAATTGCATTTAAAATACAAACTCAGAAATACTAATTTCCTTTAAAGCAAAATAGTCATTGATGCTGGATATAAACCCTCCATTCAGCTGATAGCTCACTTCAGCTGTGTGATGGCTGCCAGTGGGAGGCTCCAAAACACTGATATTAACTAAAAACTTTTTATTTAAAGGACTCTTCAGTTTTGGATGATAAAACCCATATTAGTACATATGATTCTGGAAAAAAATAAAAATTCTTTCATACATACACTTTTCTCCATTTAAAAAATACAACTGACTTTCTTTTCAACCATTTTCACACTAAATGAGGGCAAGTTAGAGGAGAATACTGGAGATTTTATTTGTTTATTCTAGTTAGAAAAAAGTTACATACGTGGAAGACCTGTAGGCCATTGCTATTTAATGTGAATTGGCCGCTTGTGGCACAAATGTGAAAGACTGATGTTTCACAAGTATTAGTTTAAAGTCTCTTTTGTGTATTGCACTGTAGTTATTTTCATAGTTATAACTTCTCATTTCACTGGTATTTTGTGAGCGTAGAGCCTTCATAGTTTACAGGGTGATGTATATTGGGCATTGTCCTTACATTGACACAGTGTGATTTGATTTTTAGTACATAATCTTTTTGTTTTGGACATAAATTTCGTGAGTAGGTCACACACACTGGAAAAGAGGGCATGCTTACTGCAGGGGATTACATTGCAAGCAGTCCTGAATGTACTGTGTGCCAGTCGGAAGGTCCTAACACAGCAAAGCTTTTTTAAGCATGTGCTTAAGGCCAGTGTGTGCTTAAAGGCTTTGATATATAGGAATTGGGGTCTGAACAGAGCAAAGAAAGGCTCATGCTGAAATTGCTTCCTGAACAGAAAGCTAGCAATATTTGTCGATGGTTTGTTTCTTCAGTGACCTATATTTTTTTATCCAATGCTACTCTCTTTAATTTAGATGGGTGTTATTTTCATAACTAGCTGGTCAAATCTGTTCAGATAACTGAAATGAACTTAATTAGTATAGCACTAATAATTCAGTGCTTTAACAGAAATTAAGAGTTGTAAGGAAATAAATGCAAGACACACTTTCATTGTTTACCATATCTTGTGCCCACTTTCCTGAGTAGTGAGGAGTGCGAAAGCATCTGTTCAGGGTTTAAGTTTTCTAGTGGGACTGGCTCTTGGGTAGAAAAGGGTAAGAGATTCCTATAACTCACTCTCAGTGTTGTTTCTTACTGGTTCTGGGGAGTTTACCTTATTGTCTTTGACTAGTTTTGTGTGGGTCTGCCCATTGAAGACCTCTGGTCGCCAGGGGTGACCCTGTTTGCCTTTGAGGACACCACTGCCCTAACAGTTAATTTAATCAAGGTTCACAGAAAATTTTCTTTGCAGTTTGATTCCTTCTGTGTATGTTAGATGCATACAAGAATTGAAAATATGAATTTGCATGCTTAAGCAGTAACAGTGCCAGATAAATCAGATAATATCAGTGAGTATAATGCCTTGGAAGTTAGGGGTAGCAATAAGAGTGTACTATATATAAAAGCTTTAAATATTACTTAGTACTAATTAGGTCATCCTTTTTGTCTTATTAGTTTTGTTAAATTTGCTTTTTAAAGCAGGACAAGTGAAAAACTGTTTGCTTCTGTGGAATAGAGAAATTCCCAGGCACAGCAGATTAATTTCTTGGTTAAAATTTATTTAAGTGAAAGGAATAATTGAAGGGTGACTGTACTGAATCTTAAAAGTAAATGCACTGTAACTGACATAGCCGTAGAAAGCCCTATTTTGGGGCTACATTTTTGTTTGCTTAGCTTTTGATTTAGATGCAAACTGTTCAGCATTGTGATTGGTTGAAATGTATTTGGTAAAATTTGGGACACTCATGTCAAATGTTTCTTTTTCATAAAATATTGATCATGTCTTCTTGAATAATATTTGAGTTGCAGTAGATCTTTAATTTGCTGCACATTTTTGTGACATCCTAGATGTTCAGTTAGTTCCCAAACTGTTAAAAAAATAAATCTAGTGAAGTTTATGGAGTTGCCAAGTATATCTTTAATTGTTTTAAATTTGTTGCCGTTTGTTAAACCAGGTAGTACAGATAATGGGAAACACTTTACACATATGTTTGTGTGTAAAAATGTGAAGAAATAGCGAAGTAGATTAAAGGATATGCACACCAAATTCTATTATAATAAAAGAAATTAGCTTTTTAAGTATGTCACAGTTTAGCACAACAATAATGCAACAGTAGTTTTTTCTCTTACAATTATCTTGCTTAAGGTACTTCATAATATTTCTGTTCTCCTCAAGGCAAGACTGTATTGTCTCAGAATTCAAAGAGGGAATAAAGATTCTTTTTGTGAATATGGGATTATATCTTTTACGTGTTTGCGATGATATAAATTACATTTTTTCTCTATATCAGTAATCGCATTAATTCTTTAAGATGGGAAATTTTTCATTACAATAGTCCCTGTGGTAGTTACTATAGAAAGAAATTAAATAGATTTTTCTTGTAAATATTTGTGGATTAATTCAGTATGCTAGGTATTCCAAGTGTCTAAACACTTTAAAAGGTGGGAAATTAAAACTTGCATGCAGAACTAGGAGTGGTTTTATTGTGTTAAAAATTTATCAGATAAAAAAAAAATCCCACTTAAAGGAGAATTGTTGAACTACTTAGCAATTGTGTCTTCAGTATATGTAAGAATACCCTTGCAGTGTCATGCTGCAAATGAATTCATGAAATGAAAATACTGATTGCATTAACATACAGTATTGTGATAGTACCCAATTGTAAATTGCAGTATGTAACCTTTAATACAAATATTTGTGTCAATCAAAATTGACCGATAGCTTAGTATACAAGGTTTAAAAGATACCATTGTTTTTAATAAATAAGATGATCCAGGCGGATGAGGACCAGTTTGAATTTGTTCCTTATCAGCAGTTCCAGAAAAAAGGATATTGTCTCCAAAATATATGATAGGAAGGCTTTCCATTTCCCATCCGTGAATGAGTGAGGCCTTTAGAGGTTTTAATGTTTCATCCAAGGGTGAAAATAACTTCCTTTATATTCTAAAGAATGTAACACAAACTTGCCTACTCACTTTTTGGGGGGAAAACAAAAAATGCAGGCAGTGTTACAAAGAAATCTAGCTGTTGCTTTTCTTTATTAAAAAAAAATTCTGCTCTTTTTCTGCATGCTGGAGAATTTTCTTTTGCTGTGCTTTTGAACATTTTTTTACCATTTTTGCGATGATCACTTTTTAGTTTGATAACCTCCATCACTTCCTTCCTTACCCTTGTTAAGTTAGGAGCTGATTTGGTGGAGTGCTAAGTGCTCTAAATCTGCTCTGCAGCTCCCAGGAGGTGTTTGGTTTCTCACAGGACCACAGTCTAGGTATTTTAACCAGAACACAGTGGAAGAAAGTGAGGAGAATAGACTCCTTTCTGGAA